TTTTTTTTTTTTTGAGACAGAGTCTCACTTTATTGCCCTTGATGGAGTGCCATGGCGTCATAGCTCATAGCAACCTCAAACACTTGGGCTCAAGCAATTCTCTTGCCTCAGCCTCCTGAGTAGCTGGGACTATATGGGCCTGCTACAACACCCAGCTATTTTTAGGAGATGAGGTCTCGCTCTGGCTCAGGCTGGTCTTGAACCTGTGAGCTCAGGCAATCCACCTGCCTCAGCCTACCAGAGTGCTGGGATTACAGAATACATTCTTCTTAGGAAAGTAACACAAGAATGGAGAAACAAGAGTGTCACCGGTTTGTCTGTTTATTTTATTTTTGGGGACAGAGTCTCACTTTGCCACCCTTGGTAGAGTGCCATGGAGTCACAACTCACAGCAATCTCAAACTCTTGGGCTCAGGCCCCTCTCTTGCCTCAGCCTTTAAGTAGCTGGGGCTACAGGCACCTGCCACAATGCCTGGCTAGTTTCAGAGACCAGGTCTCCCTCTGGTTCACACTGGTCTTGAACCCGTGACCTCAGGCAATCCACCCACCTCGGCCTTCCAGAGTGCTGGGATTACAGGCATGAACCACCTTATCTGGCTTTGGTGTCAGGTTTTTAGAGTACATGAGGCTATCTTCCCATTTGTCTCTAGGCAGACCATTTAGGAAAGTCTCTTCCCTGGAAACCATCCAAGAAAAGAACCCAAGTTTTCCCTATCTATATTGTTTGAATAGGGCTGTCCTGTTCCATAGTGGATTATTTTTCCCTTTCCCCAAACCATACTTAGCCTGACACAAAGGGCTTTCAAGTACCTTGCTCATATTACTGAGGTCTTAAAAGTTTTTGGATATAAGCATTGGATTACAAATTGTAATTTTCTTTGTATAACCCCTAGGACAGAATTTAAGATATTCAAGTGGTATTTAGTAAGCTTTCTGCTAATGATGATGAAATACTCAAAACTTTCAAAGCTTACAATGAAGTATATATGTATAAAAATATCCAAAGGATTGATAAACACCAAGTAGAAGAAAGCTTTCTCAGGGAGGGAGTACCACATGAAGGATTAGTGCTAACAGTGAGCACACAAAGTGTAAGGGGCAACCTGGGACCATTATTGGTACCAAAACTATTGAATTGATCCCAGGCACTCTGTTATCCTAAACAGAGGCAGAATTTACCAGCAGCCATCTCACTTTAGCAAAGAGCCAACACAGATGAAGGCAGTATATATACACACAACAGATTCTGCCTTGGATTCAGCAATCAACCCTGCTGGAATTGTGCCATTTTACCCAAGGCTTTGGCCTACTTGATTCTACACAAGTAGAATCTGTCAAGTATTAAGAGTGCAAGTGCCACCTTTTTCCTTTCTTGGTTGGCCCACCTACTCTTGCCCTGATTGATGAATATCTCAAGAGCCCCCCAGGCTCTTTTTGGCCATCCCTATCTATGCTTTTGCATCCACAAACTGTATGTAAGTGACTAGGCCAGTCACATGTTAAAAAGTTAAATACTGCTGTCATCTGTAAGGAAGACCAAAGAGGCAGCTGGAGCAAACCAGGCAGGCCCAAGACAATCTGAGGTTATAAAAATGGAGAAGGAATGATTCCAAATGAAACTTCTAAGGAAACATTGGCAAGAACTAGTTACAGGCAGAATGACGACTGAAAACACCCCTAGAAAGGGGGGAAAATAAAAATATTAAGCTAAGTGAGGCAGAACAAAGGAAAGTCAGCTAATTTACTTTTAAACCAGCCACTGCTAAATTTATCTCAGCAAGTTTCCTGCTTTCCCTAGAAGCCTGGCCTAGCAAGAAACATTAACTAGTCTGATTCCTGCCTACTTAACAGTCAAAGCAAATACCCACTGTGGAGATTTGTATTTGGCTGAGGCAGAGATCAAGGGAACAGCTCGAAATATGGGTAGGAGGGCTTACATCCCTTATCACAGAGGAAGACCCTCTGTGGTGGTGGTAAGAGGAAAATTCCTCTTTCCCACCAATTCTTCAGGGGAGATTGATGCCAGTGGCATTTTACTCCACAGTGAATTAGTGGATATTAACACCTCCCTAAGAATCTGTGTGTGACCTCAGACAGGAGGCTGCCCCCCACAAGGCTCAGGTTCTGGATTTCTCAAGACTGCTCAGATCCTTAAAGTTAATGATTATATAGAAGCTGATATGTTTGCTTAGAGAAACCAATGGCATCTTTGTTCCCTTCCTCAGCTTACCCTCTGGGCTAATGAGCAAACAGCCTTCAATCAAAGCTGAGTGGAACTGACACTCAGGACCACCGTCAGAACCCCACAAATGGGCAGTGGTTCCCTGTGCTCCCACCTTTGAAAATTCTATTCTGTATGTCTTGTCTCTTT